GCGTAGTGTAGACGGGCCCTGAGCCGCTTGCCACGTTCAAAATCTTCTTTATTCATTTCACTTGTCTGTTTAACAATGTGCAGATATTGTAATGAAAAAAAAAAATCGATTTAGTTGTATTTTGTACTTACCACTAAGAAGAGCTATCAACAGCAGAATGATTTTTATCATCATTTCGCCTGGTATTTTGATTCTGAAACTTTGAAAAGGGTGCTTTACAAGTGCATCTAGAGGAGAATCTGAAGCGTTATGGTGTTGTAAGCGCATTTGACAATAGGGTTGTCCCACAATCAAATAGACCAGCGATAGGAGGTACAAACACCATGAATTGCTTTGTTCACAAAGACTTTTCAATGACAAAGTAAAGCTCCACTTGCTGAGGGGGGATATAAGGGGGAGGGGAGTTTGGGAAGTCGCGGTCGAACCCCCTAAATCTAAAACAATGAGACATGTATAACACGCTGACTTGTCCTCAGAAATATACCAGCAATCCCATTTGTGAGGACCACAATTTTAAAAATTTCCGGGGGAGAACCGGATGCCCCGGACCCCGCTAAAGGTGACCTCCTTTGGCGGTTTGTATCTCGAACCCCCTTTTCTAAAATTCTGTATCCGCCCCAGACTTGGTCTATCCTGGCTTAGTAAAATTCAAAACTAAACAATTATCTAATTTCACTTTTTTTTTTCCTCGTGCCAAGTTTGGCTTTCGTAGCTCGATTTGTGGGTACTGTATTTCCTCGATAAATACAGCTTTTAGGTAATTTTTTTCTCGATATTTTAGCGATTAAAATCGTTAAAACACAGTGGAAGGATTTTAATGGGTAGTTTATACGTCAATCAAGACTTCTCCGCCGTTGCAAGCTTAACGTGCCGTAGCTTTCCCGCACCCTTCCCGGGCTGGGGTAAATTTTGTCCTCGACCCGAAGTCTCACCGTTTAGAAAGTGACTTAAAAGTCAAGCTTTGCAAAAACGCCGCGTATACATAGACCTCTGTAATCTGCAGAGGTTCGAACGAAGCGTTCGTTATAGAGAGCCACTGTGCAAGGTGAGTGCAGGTGCGAAATCGAAAATCGTTCAGCGGATTCTCACTACTCATAAAAACCCCTTAGAGTCTGCGGAAGAGAGGGTACATAAACAATTTGACAACTGTTATCACTCTAGTTTACAAGCTCGTAATTTGGTTTACACCAATTCTTTTTCGGTAACGGTTTCTTGCTCGCTTCAAACTCTTTCTAACTTCGAGGCAACGATTACACGGTGAAACGGAAAGTGATATCGGATTGCTATGTTTGACTGCTGGGAACACTAGGAAGGCAATTCCGGCATATTCAGGCTCTGATGTTGTGCATGGAAAACTGGAGAGGCGCTCTTTTTTTTTTCGTTCACAGTCATTTGTTTGCTGACTGCGCAATCTTGGAGCTTGGCCGATCCAGGAATTTAGGAATTTGTAAACGTAGAATTCATAAAGCTGAATGGGCCTTACGACCAGCACCTTACATTTGTCTCCTCGATCATGTTTCAAGGTGGGACTTAAAAACACCATGTTTTAAGCATTTTCTCGCGGCTAAGATTTAACTCCAAACCATGGCAAAGTATACATTTTTAACAAGCTTAAAGACCAAAAATTATGGGAAAAGTATTTGTGTACCCTATAACTGTATTGTAACCTGACACCGGCTGATTAAATCTGCCACCTGCTGGGGAATGCCAGGACTTGAGAAAAGATAACTCGTACTAAAACTGATCAAAAAGGAATAATTTTTACATTTTATAAAAGAAGACAAATAGCTTGCTGGGATAAGCATAGAGATTTTTGAAAAGTTAAAAACACATGAAATGACGACCTGTTAAATCTGATACCGAAAATCTAGCATACATTTCAACACATAACTTCGACAGAATGGACTGCATGAAAAAGTTCTATGCTCATCCCACAGAACGTACTAAGAACAACAAATCCTGAAAGTTTTAACTCAATTGAATAAATCCTTCTCAAGATATCTTTTCTCGAAGGCGAAAATAACTCGTTTTGAGAAAACGAGCTTTAAACTTACAGTTATGTAACAGTACTTGTCAAAATAAAACTTCAATACCTTAAGATTCGAGTTCGGTGAAAAACAAAACTTCGAATTCCTTTCAGAAGTTCCGCCTTAACAGATTTTGCAATCATTTTGCAAGGCTTGAAACACATCTTATTTCTGGTTAGATCAATACTACCACACTTTATCAATAGGCCACGTTCGATATATCAATATTCTAACATGGATCTGAGGGTTTCGGGTCAAAAGTGCAATTTTTCTAAAGTTTATTTTGTCTCACAATTCCCAAAAGAGACTTGGAAGCAAAGAAACACCACCATATAGAGAAGTTTGTTCTGAAAGCCTCGTAGCCATGTCATAATATTGATATATCGAACGTGTCCTATTGGATGATGCGAAAATCAAAATTGGTGAATATGTATGACCGCGGTCATTTTGGCAGTGTTGTGAATTAATATAACAATAGCACAAATTGTCTAAAACACGATAAAATGAAGCTGTCTTCGCTCTAAGTACGCTAAAATAAACCAGAATAGGCAACGAGCTCGGGAACATTAAGTTTTAATAACTTTTGTGTGCTTCAGCACAAAACTACAATAAATATTCAGAAAGAGATATCCTTAATCGTCTCATGTGAGCTGTAATTAGGTTCCTTAATCGAAATCTCAGCATTCATCAACATCATATTCCAATGGTTGTCATTTGATGAGAAATCAGACTAAGGTTTTAAACTCGTTGTAATTAATTACTTAGTAACTTGAGATTAAAGGGTCCAATTGTTCATTCCACACACTTTTAGAGATCTTCGTTTCCAAGACCTAAAAAATAAAAGTAGAGAAATATTTTCATACAGCGTTTGATCATAGTTAATAGAGGGAAATAGTTAAGAAACGTGGGAAAGTTCTTTGTTGCACGTTTTTGGTGGCTATTTTAGGGGTTGACCCTGCGTAAAACCTGAAAAAATACAAAACGTGGTTATGTGTGCTCATGTAAGTAGCCAACAGAAGCATTACGATTATATAATTTCGTCATACATAGTCAACGACTATAAAACAAAAGAGGTGCAGGCCAAGGTCAAGGACCTTCGAACATAAATTTTAGCCTGTTTGTTCGCTTCTTTGATTTTAGCCTGGTTTCTCAACCACTTCCCTCTATTATTATAGTTTGATACACAATGAGAACATCTTTCTATAACATGTCGTCATGATTAGACGCCACCAACGGTATTTGGCTCACTTTCATGTTCGAGTCATCGGATCAGTCACTCGAAAGGAATGTCGGAAGAACCCTGATGTAGAAAAGATGAACTAGCTAAGGTAAAACAAGTACGAGTGACGCTTTTTTAGTTTTCAACAGTAGTTTCTTGTTTCCCAGTCGAAGTGGTCGCAGGCCAGGATAAGATAAGCCTGGCACCAAGAGCTGAGCTTCTTTCTCTTTGCCCAGCCGTTAAAGGAGTTCAGTAACGGCATTTTGAATTATTTTGGCCATGTACAAAATTACCTTGAAATTGAAGGAAACCTGAAAATAGTCATTTACGAAGACAGAAAAACACCAAAGAGATAACAATAAACCACAAAGGAACAAGGATGGTTAAGGATGGAGAAGCTTAAGACTGATTACAAAAGACGAATTTGAAAAATTTAGGCTAAGCTTTTCAAGATGCGCAAGCCGTGGTCAAAAGCTGACGCTCGCTTCAGCTCAGACCCAATGTTTCAGTGGCATAAAAAAGTGTTGAATGTTTCGCAGCAACAGGAGCAAAGGCTTTGTGTACAAGACCGGGATAAAACGAGACTTAATTTAATATGTAAATATGATTGATGCAGTTGTGGTAAGTTTTACGGAAGGACAAATTGATCATTCACAGTATCAGTGAATAATTACAAGTTATGTTACACACCTGCTACTGACCTCCACAAGCCGCCATACACTCGGCCTCGGTGTCAAATCTGTTGCCATTTCCATCACATCCTCCATACGTGAAAGATTTGCAAGATTTAGAACTGGAGTCATAATAATACTTTGGAAACGCCCCCCGACACGGTCCTGTTTCTGCCGCCAAGGAGCACACTGAATTACTTGCTGCCTGCACAGATCTAGTGTTTCTTGAAAAACCTACATAAAAAACAACACCTACCATAGTGTCACTACGGGAATATGAGACAAACGTATTTCTGACAGAGACTGCCTTCCGAGTTAAGTTAAAACTTTAAAAAGAGATTGAAACTGCGGATTGTTAATTTCAAGGACTGCAAATGCCAAACAATATACATGTATAAACGGTCAAGGCAAATCGACACCTGTCAAAACAAGGTATCCACTGACCAGTATCACGTGACGATATCGCGGGCTCTAGGAGAACCAGTAGAGCTTCTTCCTCAAAAATACAGATACGCCCAATACAATGAAATTTCCATGATCCTTATACCTTTCAAATGACCCGCTTTTTCTATACACTTGTAAACGTATAAAAAGAGTCATCTAAAGAATTGAAAAGCAACTTTTTAAACTCGTGGATACGCGAAGCGTAGGAACGTGTTTGTTGTGGGAACTCCGATATGCAAATGTGTCACTCACTCTCTCACTCAGGTGTAGACACTGTTCGTAATTAGTCGGCCGGAACGAGCTGAGAGCGCCCGAGCCCGACGCCATATTGGAATAGTAACCGAGCAGCTGCGCGGTTACTATTCAATATTAGGTGTTTCGCTAAAGTGAAGTGGAGTGACTTCGAATGTTGTAATTAGTACTATGACCAACTCGAAGGCTGAATTTCAAGAGCATTTGAGTCGTCCAGGCGTAAAAAATGACCAGGATATGAGTATTTGTTTGCTGGAAAGTGACCTGACAATGAGTAAATCTCATGCTAATGTAGTAAGCTTTGATGAGAATGTGTCTTAGCGGTCGACCTTAATGAACTTATTTAAGCGAAAAGAACTATTTTTAATGAACGAAAAAGCCATTGAAAACAGTACAAACATCGACACCGTTGTATAATATTGTAATTTCATTTTTTAGTTATTTTTTTGTAAAAAAAAAATACCTCTTAGTCGGCGCGTCAGGTATGTTATGGACGGGTCAATGGATGAGTCAGTGAGTGGGTGAGTCAGTGAGTGAGTGAGTGAGTGAGTGAGAGATGTATGTATGTCACACCAATCAGATTGGATCTACTCTAAACAGTCAATCAAATTTCTTGTTGTAAAGGTAAATGGTATGTGAGAAGATTTGACCCCGATACAGTTCAGAACGGCCACATTCATTCTTCTATAAAAGAGGAGGAAGTATTCATATATCGGGAATACTTCGACATTTTTTGTAGGTTAGGCTGAGGATTTTAGTTAAATGAACGAGATGAGCCTTGAGGTTTGAAACAGTTCGTGAGTCAGTAGTATGCAAATGCAACGAGATATTTTTACTTTTAGTTACAAAGGTAACTTGATACTTTTGTTTTTCACAAGGAGTAAATTCAATTAGAAGTCACGAATCGACGCTTCTAGTTCTTAGGACTTGTTTTAGAGGGGACGAGACTTTAGATTTGAAACAGTTCTAACGTTTACAATAGTAAGTGCGGGTAACGATTGTTTTGTTCTTGTTGCATGCAAATATA